CCAACGACCTCTGGAAAAATTGTAGCGCCAGTCACTCCAAAGGTGTTTCAGGGTAGTTTACTGTTAAAGGGTGGTTTACCCTAAATAGTGCCCCCAACCTTATCCCAACCCTATCTTCATCCAATCCTGTCAGAATGTTACTTGTCTAGCCTGCAGTGGGGTACTCAACAGTGAGTACAACCCTTTAGGGTTTCCTACTTGTATCCCAACTCTTGCTAGTTCAATCATTCCCATTCTCACTTCTCCAATTCTCCTTCGTATACCACAAACCCTAGTCCTAGGGCACATCCTACTACCTCCTAGTGTGGGCCTAGGCTACTAAGCCTAGGCCCCACTCCTATTGTTTCTAACATGGTATTCAGAGCAGGCACGTTCCTGCGCGGCGGCGAAACCCTAATTTTTCATCCCGCCGTGCGCTCGGGGCGTACGGCGGTTTTCTGCCCGCCGTGCGCCCCGAGGCGCGCGGCGGTTTTCTGCCCGCCGTGCGCCCCGAGGCGCGCGGCGGCTTTCTGCCCCGTCACTCCGCGAGTCGCCCCCGGGAGGAGCTGCGACGGGCGACGGGGAGCCGCGCGTCGCCCCCCGTCGCCCTTCGAGGCCCGAGCGACCTCCGTAGGGCCCGCGCGCGGCCCGTCCAGCCTGCGCGCGGCCCGTACGGGCTGTGCCAGGCCATGGCGCACCTCGAGCCGCCCGCCACTGCAGCAGCAGCCCCTGGAGCCGCCCGCAACTGCAGCAGCAGCCCCTGGAGCCGCCAGCAACTGCAGCAGCAGCCCCTGGAGCCGCTCGCCACTGCAGCAGCCGCCCCTGGAGTCGCCCGCCACAGCAGCAGCCGCCCCTGGAGCCGCCCGCCACTGCAGCAGCCGCCCCTGGAGCCGCCCGCCACTGCAGCGGCCGCCCCTGGAGTCGCCCGCCACTGCAGCAGCCGCCCCTGGAGTCGCCCGCCACAGCAGCAGCCGCCCCTGGAGTCGCCCGCCTCTGCAGCAGCCGCCTCTGGAGCAGCCGCCACTGGAGCCGCCGCCCCTGGTGCAGCCGCCCCTGGGCCCGCGACGCCGCCCCTGGAGCAGCCGCCCCTGCAGCAGCCGCCCCTGGCCCCTGGAGCAGTCGCCACTGCTGCAGCTGCCCCTGGACCCGAGCAGCCGCCCCTGCAGCAGCCGCCTCTGCAGCAGCCCACGACGCCGACCCTGCAGCTGCATGCGACGCCGCTCCTGGTCCCGGTGCAGCCGCCTCCTTTTCCTGTCACCCGCAGTCTTGTTCCTCTCGTTCTGTATGTGTCTTTTCTTGCCCACTCCGTGTACGTTCGTCTTGTTCGTGTATTTGTTCGTTTTGCCTGTGTTCGTTTGTTCTACCTACCTACCTACCTACCTGCGCCCTCGTGCCTTGTGCCTTGTGCCTTGTGCTTCGTGCCTCGTGCCTCGTGCCTCGTGCATCGTGCGCCCTGCTCCGCGCTATTGCTCTGCACGCGCGGTTGCCCGCGCCCTCGTGCGCTCTACCCTACCTGCTCCGCGCTGTTGCTCTGCACGCGCGGTTGCCCGCGCCCTCGTGCGCCCTACCCTACCTGCTCCGCGCTGTTGCTCTGCACGCGCGGTTGCCTGCGCCCTCGTGCGCTCTACTACCTACCTGCCTGTGCCTGTGCCTGTGCCTGTGCCTCTGCCTGTGCCTGTGCCTGTGCCTGCTCGTGCCTTGTGCCTCGAGCCTACTACCTACCTACCTGTGCCTGTGCCTGTGCCTGTGCCTCTGCCTGTGCCTGTGCCTGTGCCTGCTCGTGCCTTGTGCCTCGAGCCTACTACCTACCTGCCTGTGCCTGTGCCTGTGCCTCTGCCTGTGCCTGTGCCTGTGCCTGTGCCTGCTCGTGCCTTGTGCCTCGAGCCTCGTGCCTACCTACCTACCTGCCTGTGCCTGTGCCTGTGCCTCTGCCTGTGCCTGTGCCTGTGCCTGTGCCTCGTGCCGTGTGCCTCGTGCCTCGTGCCCGCGCCCTCGTGCGCTCTGCTTCTGCCCGCGCCCTCGTGCGCACTGTTCTGCTCTGCCCCCCCCCCCCCCCACCACAAGAGGTGTGGGGGTGGCGGGTGTGGGGGTGCTCCGTTTGCGTCGCCCCTTTCCTCCTCCTCCTCCTTCCTCGTCTCCCACTGCTGCAGCTGCCGCTGAGGGGGGTGGATGTGTGGGAGCCGAGGGTTTAGGGTTTCAGGAGTGAAGGGGGAGTGGAGCTAGGGGTGAAGCAGTGGGTGTGTGGGGGGTGTGTGGGACAGTTGGGGGAGGTTGAGCCGAGGCTGCCGTCTTGTCGTCTGCAGCACCTGAAGTCCGGGGCTCTGTCTCGGTAGCGCAGAGCTTGTGCTGCACCAGTTATCTGAGTCAGCCGCCATGTGTCAGCCGCTCCTGTTGCCTGAGTGACTGCAGCTCCAAACGATGTCTCCTATCTTCTCGCCCTCACAGTCTCTCCTCCTCCTCACTTGCCCGTTGTGACTACCACTAGCTTTGCTCATAGTTGTGAACTTTAAACTGTTGCTTCTTGAACTTGTGCTCAGAATGTGTGGTGACATTGTGATCCACCCTGAGCTTGTTCTACTTTGCTTGCTCTGCTGATTGCACCCCACTTTGGCTATGGGGGTGTGTCAGAATGTTACTTGTCTAGCCTGCAGTGGGGTACTCAACAGTGAGTACAACCCTTTAGGGTTTCCTACTTGTATCCCAACTCTTGCTAGTTCAATCATTCCCATTCTCACTTCTCCAATTCTCCTTCGTATACCACAAACCCTAGTCCTAGGGCACATCCTACTACCTCCTAGTGTGGGCCTAGGCTACTAAGCCTAGGCCCCACTCCTATTGACAAATTTGGAGATGGGGGAGCACGAAAGCGCAACCGCATACTGCAATCGCGCACAACAAATTCTTGCAGATCTTCGTATGGCTGGCGTGGACTACGCAATGTCCTCCTACGTTACGCATGTCATCAAAGGTCTACCTGCAAGCTACAATCTCCTGCGTCGCATGGCGAAACTCCCGGGTTTATGCGAAGAGCTTGATGAGGATACGCTTTCGAGCTACATCATTGAAGAGGAGTTCACACTCGAATCCGAGCAGCGCAAGGAGCAGCTTCTCCCTCGAGTCAAATATGTCGCGTCAAAGCAGAAGCATCCGCAACAGAGGTGGGGGAAATCGCGTGGAGGAGGTGCGAAGACGATCAAGAATGACGAGCGTTCCAGTCTGCAAAAGTGCCGACGCTGGCCCATGCGTCACCTTCCACACCTCCAGGAAAATCGTCTCGTAAATGATGTCCTCGACCGACGTGACCACCTTGTTGTCGGTCAGGTCGAGCACTTCCCATTCCTTGCTCTTCGACGAAACACCCAGGTGTATCCCTGAACGAGCCTTCGTCGCCAGCTTCCTACCGCGCTACTGCGCGGGGACCATGAACTGCACCATGCAGCCCCAGACCCTCGCCAATGTGAGGTCGGGCTTCTTGCTTGTCAGCAGCTGGTGCGGCGTCGTCCCCGGAGGCAGCGTCGACCGCTCCAAGCAGTTGCGCACCCAGACGGCCTGCCGCAGGGCGAGATGCCACCAGTGGTGCTGCACGCCCATGTGGAGCAGCATTGTCCGCACGGCCTCGACGACTGTGTGCACCTCCCTCTCCGCCGTGCCGTTCTGCTCGGAGTGTACAGGCAGGTCTGGTCGTGGACGATTCCTTTGCCGATGACGAAGTCGGTGAAGTCCTTCCCCAGGAACTCGCCATCGCCGACTTCTTGGTTTGCCTCTCCACGACCAGCAGCCACTGCTCGAACACGTGCATGACGTCACTCTTCTTGGCGACCAGCCTCACTCACACGTAGCGCGGCTTTCGGTCCTTCAGCAGAAGAAAGTACTAGTTGCCATCCTTGGCGCCCACCTGGAGCGGCCACCTCGAATGGTCCAGCAGTAGTGAACAGGTCGATGTGCACGATGGCCAAAGCTTCCTCCGCGTCAGAGCCCTTGTCGAGGAAGGTGTATCGCGCACGTTTCCCGCCTACGCAGGAGACGCACGGAAAGTCGGTCCCCGTCGATGGCTTAATGTTCAGGCCAGTGGCGACTTTGTGCTTCGCCGAGCTCTTGATGGTGTCGACGCCAACGTGTGCAAGCCTCGCGTGCCACCTGTCCAGCGTCGACTTCGTCGCCGATGCAATCGTCCGCAGGGCCACCATCTTGGTCGACGTCGACAACAACTTTGTCGTGCAGGGCTGAAGGTCGATGCAGAGGACGCGGCCGGTTTAGCGTGCTTGACCGAGCACCCCCTCGATCGCGGTGACGAGTAGCATCTCGTCACTGTCGTCCTGCAGCTTCACACCACTGTCATTCAGTTGGCCAGCCGTCAGCAGGTTTGCCCGCACGCCCGGGACGTAGAGTACGTCGGAGATGAGGACCTGCTTCTTGGTCTCCCCTTACAGAGCAGTGGTGCCTCGGCCCTCGATAGTCTGCAGAGCCCCGTTGAAGCCACGCACATGCTGCACATCGCCGCTCGGTGCCATGTTGACAAAGGCCTCCTTCGTCCCCATGAGGTGGTGCGAGAGAGTGCTATCGAGCAGGACCACCATCGGATTCGTCTGCACAGCAGCTGCTACTGCCTTGAAGTCTTCGCCAGCCTCCGGCGCCAGCGAAAGCGTCGGCTCCAACACGCCGACCATCAAGCACGATGCCTCCCCGTCACCTCGACCCTTGCCGATGGAGGAGACGATGTCCTTCGTCGACAACGTCTTCTTCGACGTCTCCTCCTTGCGCGGTTTCGTCCTGACTTTGACGACCGTTGGCCGACCTTTCGCGGCTTCACTTGTGGTAATCGTCGTCAGACTCCTCTTGGTCGGGGCAGTCATATGAGAGGTGGTTGGCGCTTCCGTAGACCGTTGACACCGTTGCCACGACCACTGTCACGAGCTGATTTCGCCCGGTCGGCGTCCTTCGCCGGCTTTCCACCTCCGCTACCACCTCCGCCAGACTTTCTGCGCTGCCACTGCTGACGACTCTGCTTTGTCGATGCAGCGTTATTCGCCTGCCAAAAGGAGCTCCGTGGGTCGTTCTGCCTCCTGCATTGCCCGGCGACGGCGACGGCGACGGCGACGGCGACGGCGACGGCGACGGCGACGGCGACGGCGACGGCGACGGCGACGGCGACGGGCTGGTGAGGGTGTCCTTGTCGAGCGACTCCCGCATGCCGGGAATCACCATCATCCGGCGCATGAGGTTGTAGCCGCTTGGCAGGCCTTTGACGACGTTCGTGATGTAGGATGCTGACGAGTATTCGACGCCCGCCATCCGCATCTCGGCCAGGATTTGTCGAGCACGGTTACGGTAGTCCGTTTCCGACTCCTGCTCGCCCATCCCGAGGTGTGTCAGCTACTCCTCCAGCTAGCCGATGTACAAGTCGTCCGTCGCCTCGTATGTCGACATGATGAACCGCCACGCCTGGTGGCCAGCGTCCAGTCGAAGTCGATACGGCTTAAGCGCTATCTGCACCATCAGCGAGCAGCACCTTGAGATGACCATGAAGGTCAGCAGGTGAGCGGCACGAAACTCCCCTCGCAACTCGACCTCGTCCTCGTGCGGTACCGGCACGGTGCGATCGGTGAAACCCTTCACCCCGGTGATCTTCAGCTGAGGCTGAATAGCCTCCTTCCACGTAATAAGGGTCCGTCAACCTTGCAACGGCGTGGTCATGGCGATCTTTTCCGGCAAGAATTTGGAGTAGCCGTACGCCGGCGCAATCCCGCCCGCCGTCACATGCGTCGTCGACGAGGCCTCCCGCTGCTTCGCCGAGGAGAGCGACGTTGACCGTCGACGTCGACACGCTAGCTGCCTGCGGCCGCCGTCGACCGCTGCGCTCGCGCCTGATTTCCGTGGACGCTACCGTCGGCGGACCTGATCACCCCAATCTTCTTCGTGCCCTCGTTGCCACCGACTCGGTCACGAACGTCGACCTCGTCGATGCCACCTTCGTTACGCACCGGTCGAGGAGAGGCGGGCGCGCTGTCTGCTCCAGGTTGGGGAGGGTGTGCCACCGCCCACTTCGCACAGATCCCCAGGAGAACCACCTCCAAGGGGAGCACCGTCCCAAACTCGCCATCTCCATGGCGTCTCGTCGCATCAGCCAGACGTGCTTCTAACGTATCCTCTACCCCACCGGTCTCTGCCAGGGTAGGCGTCATAATTTGCACGGGCTGCCAGCCTACAAACGACTTAGGTAAGTGATAAGATATCCTTGCGTGGCCGTCCACGCTCACCGAACCATGCAGAGAGAAACCCTGCAACGGTGGGAGCTAGCCTACGGGGTAGGCACGTGTTGTCAGAGTGATCGTAGCTCTATCTGTGTTCTCTAGCACTTGAGCGTTCTCATGGCAAAACAGCAAGAGTTTCACGAAGGAAATTTGAGAATACTTAAGTCATGATAAAAAAACAATGGCAAAGAATAACTACATGCAAGGTTTGCTAGTGCACAGGCAGGTCGACCGCCAGCACGACAAAGTCGTCGGCCTGCCAACGTAGCAATTCTGCGGCCCGCCAACGCAGTTTGTGTGCGACTTCTCAACGCTGCAGAATGGCGGCCTGCCAACGCTGCACCCGCGCGGCTTGCTAATGCAGCATCCACGCAGCTTGCCAACAATGCATCCGGAGCTGATTGTAAGCGCATGTGCAAGCACCTACAGTAGTAGGTGCTTGTAGACAGTTATGCACGACGTGCACTGTCGCGCACATTGCGCAGGTTGTCAGCCACATGCTGACGATTGCACGTGACGAGCCACGTCGACCATGTGCTGCCACGTCGGTCGACATCGCCACAGGAACTTTGACGATGTTTGCGCACCTCCGCAGAACCTCGCCAAGCAGGTAACTCGGTCGACCGGGCAAAGTCCCCGGCAACCCTGCAAGACGATAACCTTGGTCATCATCGATTGGCGACCTTCGTCGTCGCGGGTCAACGATCTTCGTCGTCGTGGGTCGACGACCTTCGTCGACCACCTTCTTCGACCACCTCGGTCAAAATTCTGGCTCATCATTGGTCAAAATTAGGGCACATTGGATTTTTTAGCCGAAGTTTTCTTGTACACTCGCTGGTGCTTCAGGTACTCTTGCATGGGTTCCCTAGTACACCTCACGTACGAGCAACCTGCGCAGAAGCTCTTGCTTGTGCACGAGATCCTTGTCCCAACCTGCGCAGAAGCTCTAGATCTTGCATACTACAGAGGGTCGACTCCACCCCCTACACACCCGACCAAGAATTAAGCTTTGTCCAAGCGAGGGGGTCCAACTCCCGTCATCAGTCGAGCCAACATGGACGAGACCATGAACGCTCTCCCCCAAGACATGGGCAACGCGCTTGCCGAGCTCATGCGCCAACTCGAACAATTGACGTTGGAAAATTGTCAGGTATGGGTTGAAATGCAACAACTTGGTGCAAAAGTGCTGCACCAACTCCTGCACCCAACACGTCGACTGGTGCAAAAGCGCTGCCGGAACGTCGAAGCGCACTCAAGCCGCAGAAGCTCGAGTCGTTCGACCCAAGTCAACACGACGCGAACATGCTGACGTGGCTCTTCATGCTCAACAACTACTTCGCCGTGAGTGGGGTGCAAGAGGTGGACGCGCAGCAGCAGATCGAGTATGTCGTGATGCTGCTGAGGGGCCCGGCCTTGGAGTGGTGGCGCCAACTTACGCAGACTGCTGTTAGAAGGGCTCAGACGGACGAAGATCAACAGGGCGTGGGGCATGCACCTACAACTTCGAGCTTAGGGAGTCTAGCTTTAAGTGTTACCACGGTTCCGACGACATGGGAAGGATTTGAAGCGGCGCTGAAAAGTAGGTTCGACTTGGTGAATGCCGCCGAAGCTGCTAGAAAGCGTCTGCGCCATTTCCAATAGATAGGAAACGCGTAGGAGTACACACGACGGTTCTTGAGCATCTGCAACGAAATAGACAATATCACAGAAGCAGAGATGCGCGATCGCTACCTCGAAGGGTTGAAGCCGGTACATAGCGGAGATTATAGCGATTCATGGGTTGTCCACCTTCGAGTCAGTTGTCGCAGCAGCAGAAAGTGTTGACGCAGTACGAAGCCGACGAGGTCGTGACGATCGTGATAGGGGATACAAACCGATCATCGATACTCGATCGAGGGACGGACCATCGCCCATGGAGATTGGTGCAGTTAACAGTGACAGCTCACAACGCAATGGATTTAGGGGGAACTGTCACTACTGCAAAAAGTCGGGACACATGAAGCGAGACTGCCCGCAGTTCAAGGAATGGCAGCAGGGAAAAAGAAACCGCCAGTACACAGCGGGTCGCTAGCTAGCGTGGAAACTTCCGTACCCGCCACGTCTACCAACGTAGAGGAGACGGCCCTGAAGTAGTCATCTACGCCGAACTCGGTAGACACTGTTGACCGACCATTCATGCTTCTAGGGAAACTTCGCGGAGTTCGTGTCAAGATTCTCGTAGATAGCGGAGCTAGCCACTCTAACCTGTCTTCATCGCTAGTTAGTCGTCTCCATCTTGAAGCAGATTCCGTAGTCAACTTAAAAAACGCGAGCATGGGATGGGACGTCACTCCACATAGGACCAATCATTCGCAAGTTGCGCGTAGTGCTAGGATCGATCACTGACGCGATTTCGACTCTGCGACGCTGGACGGATACGATTTCATCTTCGGGAGAGATTGGCTACGGACGGTTAGTACTCAATTCGATTGGGCTCGGGGAAGCTGCAGCATCAAGGTAGATGGCGAGTTCCGAGAGTTGCCACAGTGGAGCGATGGGGCCACATCATCCACAGCTATAATCAATTCTGTTCGTGTGTGATAGTTGGTGAAGCGCGCGGCACGGATATTTGCGGTTTTTCTTGAGGAGGTTGAAGCAAAGGAGGGGAAAAGGAGGGAGTGCAACGGTTGGCGAGAACGAGACTCTTCCTGCTGAAGTGAGTGCACTGTTAGCAGAGTTCGCAGACGTCTTCCCCGACGAGTTGCCCCCAGGGTTACCTCCCAGCCGAGCAGTAGACCATCGAATAGAGTTGGAGCCGGGGAGCAGGCCAGTAGCGAAGCCGCAGTGGAGGTTGAGACAAAGGAGATGACGCAGCAAGTTAGGCACTTTCTAGCACAGGTTTTCATACAACCTTCTAGATCATCTTGGGCCGCACCGATCCTTTTCGCGCCTAAGAAAGACGGAGGGTTACGGATGTGCATAGATTACCGCGCACTGAACGCCGCCACTATCAGGAGGCCGGTGTCACAACCTTGTTCTTGATCAGCTCCCGAATGTAGTGATACTGCGTATCAATGTGCTTAGTGCGTCCATGATAGACCGGGTTCTTGCTCAAGGCGATCGCCGACGTGTTGTCAATGTGGAGAATGGTCGGCTCTTGCTGGGGAAGGCCCAACTCGTTTAGCAACCCTCTCAACCACACAGCCTCTCTTGCTCCTTGCGTCACAGCCATATACTCCGCCTCTGTTGAGGATAATGCCACACAGCCTTGCTTCTTCGATTGCCAAGAAATAGCTGCTCCCGCCATCACAAACATGTAGCCTCCAGTGGATTTCCGCTTTGAAAGGGGACCTGCCCAATCCGCATCCGTAAAACCATGCAAGACACTACCATGCTCATGTCCGTGAAAAAGGAGACCAAAAGATTTAGAGTCAGAGAGGTAGCGGAGTACATGCTTTGCAGCTTTCAAGTGCTGAGTAGAAGGTGAGGAAATGAATTGAGAAAGCATTCCTACAGCATGAGAGAGGTCTTGGCGAGTGCACACAGATGCGTACATGAGGCTACCAACAATGCTTTGATAGAGGTTAATGTCGAGGGGGGAAAGGAGGGATGAATGAGATGAGGTGGAAGGAGAAGTGGATGAAGAGGATGAAGGCGCAAGGGCCTTGTGAAACTTGTCCCAGTCAGAGAGGGCTTCGGACTGAGAGGGCTGAAGGTCAGAGGTGGAAGGGGAAGAATGCTGAAAATTAGAAGGGAGAGGTGTAGATGCAGGATTGCAGGTGAGAAGGCCGAAGCGAGAGAGGACCTTGTGAATGTATCGCTCTTGGGAAAGAAAGAGAGAGCGAGAGGAACGGTCACGAATGATGTTCATGCCAAGGTAATAAGATGGCTCACCCATGTCTGTCATAACAAACTCCTTGGTGAGTATACCTTTGATGTGGGTGAGAAGGGTGAGGGAACCTGACACCATGAGGATGTCATCCACTTACACAATCAACCACAATACCTCATGCACCTTCGTGTGCAGGATGTATAGTGCAGGGTCATACTCAGACTGTGTGAAACCTTGTGCCAGCAGGGCGGACTCCAATGCATGATACCAAACCCTTGGAGCTTGCTTCAGGCCAT